GGCGACGCGGGCCGCCTGACGCCGTCGCGCTCGCAGATCCTGCGGACTCCGTCGCTGGGCCGCGAGGGCTCCCACGACAAGGGCGCGGGCCGCGCCGCTGTCTCGGACGAGCTGCGCCAGTGGTACCAGCGCTCCACCGCCTCGCACAAGGAGCACAGTCGCCTGTCGCACACCAGCTCCACCTCCTCGGACAGCGGCTCTCAGTACAGCACCTCCTCCCAGAGCACCTTCGTGGCGCACAGCAGGGTCACCAGGATGCCCCAGATGTGCAAGGCCACGTCAGGTGAGAGCGGGCGACTTTAGACCACGCAGAGAGGAAAGGGCTGTCATTGACTCCAGAACCTTGCTGTCAGCTGTGGGAAACCTGCGGGCTTCCAGCCCCCCGCGGAGCCCCCTCCCATTCTGCCCCTGGTCCTGCACAGTGACCGTGCACCAGACCCTCCACAGTGAGCCGAGCCACCTCGCCCGAATCCCTACCTTAGTTAGGGCGCAAACCATCCCTCCAGCACTTCCCCTTGTGAGGACAGAAATCTAAGACAGTTATGTGAAGTCTTGTCTCAGGGTTTTTCCAGCGAAAGGTACACTTTTACCCTGGTGAACAGTGAGGTTCTAGTAAGTTAGAGACCCGAGTTGTACCCCTGCAAAGGAAAGCTGGGCTGGGGGTGGGTATGGGTCTTGAAGCCCTGAGATCTGGCAGTGTCTCCCCAAGTGGAGGCAGACGGGCTCTCTGCACTTGACATCGATGTCTTGGTAGGTAGCTCTTGGTTGCTCCTGGTTTTCCCATTTCAGTAATATTATGATACATCCACAGAGTAATTTTTGTAAAGTGCTTTCAATACCCCTGATATTACATCTGGAAATTTCTGTAATCAAACTAAGGTTTACCTTATGTTCTTGTGCTCAGAGCCTTGAGCAGTACTGAATCAAGTAAAAATGTAAATCAAGTAAAAACTTCCTTAAGAAGTTACATTCTCATTCCTCTCCCTAAGAACCAATAATAGTGATAATAACTAACATTGGTTGAGCAGTTACCATGTGCAGCACAGGCCTCAGCACTAGCATATTTACATACTCATTTGCCTGCTCACAACACCCATAGAGAGGGAGACAGAAGTGATAAGAGATTCTGCATCCTACTGTAGGAAAAGAAACCCTCTCCCTAAGAACCAATAATAGTGATAATAACTAACATTGGTTGAGCAATTACCATGTGCAGCACAGGCCTCAGCACTAGCATATTTACATACTCATTTGCCTGCTCACCACACCCATAGAGAGGGAGACAGAAGTGATAAGAGATTCTGCATCCTACTGTAGGAAAAGAAAGTGGGAGAGGATTTTGAGACATAACAGGAATGACAAACGTTGTAAGAATAAATTAAGTTAGAAGCGAACCACGACTTGTCTAAGTAAGAGGGTAGGTCAAGTAAGGGCAAAGGTCAGGGGAAAGGGGAATTATCTGAAAGATAATGGGGGAGATTTCATCTTTGGGGAACTGGAGGAGATTTTTGGAGACTGGAGTGAGCAGGGCGAAGAGGAACCCCGGCTGCCCAGGTGTGCCAGGCTCCTGCATTCTGCCCCCACACACCTTTGACTGGTATATCATGTCGCATTGGCCAAATGACAAGCTCCAGAGACCAGAATAAAAATGATTCAGGTAATCATTAGTGTACCGTGGACCTTCAAGGTCCTAGAATGTTCATGTCCTGTCTTCATCTGTAAAAATAAGGCCAGTGAAATTTGCCATTGACTGGAAGATTTCGAGAATGGATCCACATTTTGAGAATGTGTACCACTTAAAGGGCATGATCATCTGTTACCCTATTAGAAGAACCAGTGGTTTGTAAATATTGCCAGCAAAGACACAAGAGTGTTTATATTCTATCAAAACTGTAGTGCTTGTCTTGTACATTTTTTTTACTTAAAGAGATTAGGTAGATCTTTTGGAACATATTTTACAGTAAAATTTTTAAGAAACTCTGTCTGAAGCTTACTGATGAAAAAGATTCTCAAGAAAGCAAAGGATGCATTTAAGTAGCATTTACTTCCTACTGAATAATCCTGACTAGACTTCTATGCTGCCCACATCAGTAAACTCCTAGTAGTCAGATTTGGATGAGATACTAAAAGCCCTGCCCCCTTCGAAGTGTATGAAAGCATCCAGTGATAAGCCTGAAATAGCAAAGAGAGCAAGCCCTGAGAACCTTTTTCCAGGCTCTCTATTTATAACGAAGAGCATCATTTTCCTGCGGAGGCCACATCTGAAAATGCCCTGAGGCATTATCTCCCTGCTGTCCAGACAAATGGGCCCTCCCTGCACGAGCCTGCCCAAGTCTCCCTGAAAGGACTTGGCGGGGCTTCAGGTTCTCTGCTGCTGTAGAAGCCGTCTCTATCCTATGGCCACTTCTCCCAGGTCAGCTGACTCAGAATGGAGGAACACGGTTTAGCGGAGAAAATGTAATTGGTGGGGTGCAGGGGTGGAGGCAGAGGTTTTTCTCCACTGTGACCTTGCTGTAGGGTCACTGAGACCCTGCCATGAGGTCATAGCCAGCATTCCTGGAAATGGTGACTCCTGGGTTCATGTGGGCCAATGAGTCTCAAGCTCCTCCACTTGTGTCTGACCGCTGTCTTCTTGCCTTTCCCACGCCACCTACACACAGCTGCCTTACCTCAAAGCCAGAGAAGCTCAACACCGTCGAGTGAAATTGGAGCCACCCCCCCAAGCAGTCCCCACCACATCCTGACCTGGCAGACTGGGTGAGTTCTCCTTCCAGGCCTTTAATCCTCTTCCAGGTTCTAGGTGGTGTCAGCTTGGAAGAGTGTCATAGATATTAAGACCCTAGTGACATAAGGATGGATCAGCAAACGCATGATGAGGGTACATGACTGGGAAACATCTTCCTTTCAAAAGAAGCCCCATGAATTGCTGTCCCCATCTACCTCACTCCTGCCCCTTGCTGTCCCTTTACAGGGTTGAATTTTTTGTGCTCTCTTTTAAAGTAAGTCGTCGTCCCCAGGATGTAGGCAAGCAGACCAGGATGTGCAATTGTGCATCTTTGGTCAGAATTCCAGAGAACATTTGATCTGGGTTCAGATTACACACAGGCCAACTCAAAATACCAGTCAAGGAGGGCTGAGGGGAAAGACAACTAATTAAGCACCTCCTTGTCCTGGGCCTGGCCAGGTGTTTCACATGCATCTCAGTGTGTCTGCTGTCTCAGTATCAGGATGCCCCTGAAGAAGAAAGGCTGTGCCTGGCCAACCACTTGCTCCTTATCCATAAACAAAGGGGATCAGGTACCTTGAGACCTTCAAGTAGAAGCTGCCCACAGCAAAATAATGAAACCAAAAGTCAGCTCCGTTCACAGGTCTAAATGTAGGCATAGAGCTTTGTAATCTCATGGCCAGTTAGTGTGCTCTGATCTACCGGAGGGCCTGGCAGATGCAGGCAACCTGCTTTGGTCTATAAGCCTCTTCTGTTGCTCCTAAAACATGACCTCTAAGTGGATGTCACATTTTAAACACCTGTTGGTTAAAGGAGTCAGGGTTCCCCTCATCCAGCTTTATCCACAGTTTCTGGTTTGCTGGAGCATCGGTGGGGATCTCTGGAAAACCTTGACAGCTGTCTGTGAGTTGAATCATGAAAAGACCACAATTCCAGAATTGGCCCCACTGACATTTCAGGCTCCCATCCTTGGCAGACATTTTTTGTTCTTGCAAGTTTACCTGTAGTGATTTTAAACCAGGCTTTCTGGACTCTTTGTTTTTGACGGAAGAGAAGGGGATCTAACACTGATTGAGTGCTTGCTGTGTACTCAAAGGCTGGGAGCTTCTCCTAACATACATGAGCTCATACATATAATCCTCACTGCACCCTTGCCAGGGAAATAGCCAGATATTTTAGTATTATAGATGAGGCTCAGAGAAAGTATGTGCCTTGCCCAGTCACACATCTGGAGGGAACTGGTATTGCAGCCCTGCTCTCTGTGACCCCAAACCCTGTCATTTTCCAGTACTTGTTAAAGCCTGGTCCCCCAGCCAGCAGCATGAGCCTCACCTGGGATTTTTTCAGAAATGCAAATTCTCAAACCCACCCATCACGTACTGAATCAGAAGCTCTGGGGCTGGGGCCCAGCCAGCTGTGTTGTAACAAGCCCTCCAGGCGATTCTGACGCACACTCAAGTCTGACAGTCAATGAACTATCCCACATGCTGCCTCTTATTCCTTTTGAATTAAGAGAATCTATAGTCCCAACTATAGTGTTCTTGTGTCCACTCCTACCCCTCAATCTGTCTTTTGGGTGGTAGCTACCCCTCCGTCCTCATTACAAATCATTAACAACACTCACATACCATCCACACTCCAGCTCTAGCCTGTGTAGCTAGGCAGCCTCTGCAAGGTTTAGGGTCCAAGAGTCTCACCAAGATTAACTCATAGAAGAATAACACATCTTCTCTATATTTATCTCCTGGGGCTAAGCCATCTCACTCAAATAGGGAACTTCAGATCACAAGATACCTCTCTGGATCCCCGCAATTTTCTGGATTATGCTCAGTCTCACCTGATCCAAATATATGACCGTGTTTTTTGACTGACAACAGGCTCCGAAATTTACGGGCGGCCCTCACATGTCTATGCACTTAAGCTGGTCTTAAAACTTGCCTATTTCACAACAAATAGCTAGCCTGGGACTCAAAATAAGTTTGAAACAAAAAGATGTTTTGGTCCTTGAAGTAAACTGTTTTGCCACATAGAGTTGAATTATCACTAGCAAACAATACTGTTCTCTATGACGTGATAAGATAATGAGACGACGGGTAAAAAGTGCCAAGGCCTGCCTGTCTAACAAAACTAAAGAGGCCTTTTGACTCAGTTATGGGGATTGAAAGTTCTGCAGGACTTGCGTATTTGTCTCTAGTACTTGGGTGTCTAATCAGTGGGCTTTTCCAATGTATTAATAAGCTACTAATCATGTCCATGTCAATTCCTTTCTTTAACATGACCTCTCTTCTCTTCCTTCTTCTGCTTTCCTTTGTTCAGAGAAGCAACAGAAAACTCACCCATTATGGATGGGTCTGAGTCTCCATCTCACCAAAGTACTGATGAATAGAGGTATCGTAAGGGCATGTTTCATTCTTACTGCCCGTGAGTTTGTGATCCCAGCTGTGCTATGTATGTTTGCCTTTACCCATGTCAGAATGTCTAGAAGGAAACGTCTGAATGATGTGGAAGCCATTATTTTTATGTCTTATTTCTAGATACATGAATAACTATATGTTTATACATATGTTTTTACATCAGGTGTTAGATATTCCCAATGCTACTTCCCAGAAAAGACCCCAAAAGTATGTCTTAGGCCTTCCCAGGCTCTACGTACACACAAGTATTTGTAGAAGCTTTTTACTGATTTAGTAATCAGTGTGCATGAAAGAAACATCATCACTGCAATGTAAGTTTCAAAGCACCAAGAGCAAACTGAATTGTTCAGACACCCGAAGATCACCCATAATTTCATCCCAGCATTCCTAAATGACAGCTATTCCTTGTACAAAATTCTGTAGAGCCCCCCTTTTCAAAATGTAGTCCAAAGGCTAGCATCATCATCATCATCACCATCACCATCACCTGGGAGTGCGTTAGAAAGACTCTTGGGCACCACCCCAGCCTACTGAATCTGAATCTGCATTTAACAGGATTCTTGGATGAATCAAATGCATGTTGAAATCTGTGATTCACTGCTACAGTGGGCGTAAAGCTGTAACCCCTGGTCTGGTTCCCAGCCCCAGGGACTTTACAATCTAATTGGGACACAGATATTGAAATTAAATAACATTTTAAGGGATAACTAAAATGATAGGAACATCATGCAAAAGTGGATAAAAAGTTATAAATTTATTAGATAAAAAATATCAAACCCTGGGTATATTCCAGGAAACATGCTAGAGACTGCAGTTCCAGAAGTTCAAGTTCAAATCAGCAATTTAAAAATCCACCAGTAGTTATACAAGGGAAATAAGAAACCACCATGCTTTTGTAGTAAGTGCTCTGACTTAAAAACAAAATGCTGAGAGGATTCAGAGGTGAGATGGGTCACTTCTCAGTTCCTGGAGATGCTACATAAGCCTGGCTTCAAAGGCTGGAGATGGGAGGAGGGGGCTTGGACAGGTGGAAACTGAGAGAGGCCATTCCATGGGCAAAAATACAGATGCCGAAACTAGTGGGGGTATTTGGGGACAGCAGAGTCTTGTTTTGCTGTAGAGAAACGGCTGGACTGCAGCCTGACAAGTAGGTTAGGACAAGATGGGGAACAAATTAGGAGAGAGATGAGCAACAATTTTTACTACAAGTTCCCTGTGGTGGCATATGTGGGATTAGAAAAGCAGGGGCTTAGCCTGTCAAAGGAAGATGGACACCTCCTCCTCTGGTGCCAGAGAAGAGAAGCTTAGAGCTAGAACGATGGCATGAGAGCGACATTTTTGGAGTAGAAAGAATTGCCTTTTTCCCCCCAGGATGAAGGGCATGACCATCCACTAAGGGTGATGGACTGGGGATGGCAGTAGGAAGCTGAGAATTAAACAGGCTTTTAAGAGCTGCTGTGAGAATGTAGTCAAATCACATTTCTCAATTATTAATGAGATACAAAGATAAAGCATTGCCTGACATTTAGTAAGATAGGAAGATAAACCATTGCTGAAACGTACATTTACAAAATTAATTTGCAAAATTTACAAAAAATAATTCTGTTGAAATTCCTCCCTCCAAGATCTTACACCCACCTTCCTATGTCAAACAGTTGTAAGGTACAAGCTCCACTAAAATGTGGGTGACAGAGGCTCATGAATTCACCACCTGTCTGGTATCAGAGGCCCTGGCTTAACCAGTACCCGCCATCTCAGAGTGTAACCCTAAGAAGGAGCCATCTTGCAGTGGGAAGTCCCCATAGGCAGAGCCCATCAGCAGGCATGGAAATCACTGCTCTTGGAACCCACGGTGGCTTAGAACCAAGAGTGCCCAGGTCTAAGCTTCTCTCCTGGGTCACAGTTTAGAGAATACACCTAGATCTTTGTCTTAAGTAAGCCATGTTTCAGTGAATGACTTACTTAAATTTAATAGGGGGACTATTCAGTGCCACCCTGTTTGTATTATTTGTGAAGAATAATTGCTTTCTCAAGGGTCTCTGTTGTTAATTTTGCTTTCTTAGCACATGGCATTTCTTGACTATTTGCACAGAACTAAATCTGTACAATGAGAAGTAAGGGCTCGGCTGAGCCGCCAGAACACGGGTTTCTTTCCTATAACGTGAGAATCCGATACCAACACATTAAGCAGCACTTACAGCTTTTAAAAAACACATACTTCAATAGTGATGGGGATCATTAACAAATATTCTATGTAGAATATCTAAAGTTTGTATGAACACGTCTTTTATTCTAGCTTCATTTTGTCATTGTTTTCTTTTTTATATTCCTTTAGTAAATAAATTTTGATCTGAAAAAGAGGTACGTTTCAGACTAATGGCAGCTTATTCTGGGATGCTCTCAGCTCCATCCTTCTCTGAGACGGGAGAAGGGCAGGCCAGTGGTTTCCACATTGTGGCCCCACCAGGGGCCACGTGGGGACCAAATCACCAATCAAGGGCACCCACCAGCATCTCCCATCCATCCCCCATCACTCAGATCTCAGTTTATCTATTTTATGCATTGGATTTCTAATGAGCTAAACAAAAAGTCCAAGAGTTTTTAAAGATGTAAAAACCACAAGACTTGACAATATCTTGAATGCCCCATCATATGTGGGATTCTGTGATCCAGGAACCTCTCTGATGAACCACAGGAGAGCAGTGTGGGCCAAGCAAGAGTTAGGCTGCCTTTTCACAGAATAAACTACCACAGGAACACAACCTACTGCCTCGTCCAAATGCCACTGCTCTGAACTCATGGCGTTTCCTTGAGCCTTAGTGATCAATATTACAGAACCTCTCTGATGAACCACAGGAGAGCAGTGTGGGCCAAGCAAGAGTTAGGCTGCCTTTTCACAGAATAAACTACCACCGGAACACAACCTACTGCCTCATCCAAATGCCACTGCTCTGAACTCATGGCGTTTCCTTGAGCCTTAGTGATCAATATTACAGAGGACTTTTAAGTTCCTCTGAAGCAGATTATATGTCGGAGGTAGTTTGTATTTGTGATATAATTATCACTTAACATTTTTTTTTGACTGTAATAGTTTCAACCAGAAGACATTTAGGCTTTAATATATAGGAGATTCAATCACATTTTATAATATTAGGCTATTTAAGATAGTATTTTCCAAAGTGTGTTCTGTGAATGTTAATAGGTGATGCTGTTCGGTAAGTTCTGGGTGAAACAAAGTAATGCAGGACTTCACAGAGCCTTTGTATATGTCCATGTACAGTGCAGTGCTCCAAAAGGCAGAGTCCTCAAACTTATTTGTCCATGGAACCTTCTTTTATTTCCTCAGAGCATCTCACAGGACTACTTTGAGAAACACTGGCTGAGGTGTTCCTTATATTCTATGATACCCCTAAAGAAAATTTTGTCCGAAAGAGATCCAGATCACATTTGTCTCCTAAACAAAATTTCCATCAAGAGTTTAAGAAACTACTGTATTTAAATGTGGCAGTATTAGTTGCACATGAAGAAGAAATCAGTTCAACAAGTGTAAGCAAACGGGAGCCTGTACTGGCTGATGTCACTGGGGAGGTAAAGGCACAGCCGGGCCAGGGTTGGCTAGTTCCCTTTCCATCTCTAGCTTAGCTTCTGCTCCTGTCGATTTCATTCTAAGGAGGAAACTGACATCCTCGAGGTTTCACAGCTGATTGTCCTTGCTTGTGCACGTGGCCATCTTGGAACCAGTAACTGTGGTCAATCCACCTGAGTCACTTGTCCACCCCTGGCACCATAGTGGAGAGCACCACCAGGACCACATGGAGTTAGGAAGAGACTGTCCCCCAATGGGGAACAGCCACCTTTCCCATCAGAAGTTTCTCAGTCCCTCAGGCAAACTGCAAGAGGCAGTTTTGTCAGGGTGGAGAGAACGTTTGCAGAGTGGGTATAACAGAATCGTCCATTTGCCACCTAACACAGTAATGTCCATGACCAGTGTCATAATTCAGGGCCTTTTGCTACTTTACTTCTGAAGCCACATCAAAGCAGAATTCACCCTGGTATATTTTTGGTGCACCAAGCATAGGACTCACATTAAAATCCATCTGTATGCTCATAGATGCCTTGGCATTTTCCAGCTTTCGTGAATTTTTTAAGGACAGATGAGAAACATTTACAAAGTCCAGAATACCTTCATCCATTTGTTCCAAGAGAAGTCAGCAAAGGAAACAGAAAAATGGGGATGGCTGATTATCCTCAATCATAAACTGTGCATGAGGCTGTGTTTGTTACTAAGACGCTCTTGAAACTCTCTTTTCTTTGAACTACATTGGATTAAGGTCTCTTCCTGTCGCCCATCCCCATCCATACTCCTAGCACTGGGTATGGGGAGATCAGCTGCAGGGGAGGAGCTGAAAGAACTGGTTTAGGATAGTTGGTGAGGGGCTTTTCCCTACTAATGATGCCTAGTAATGATTATTAACTTCAGCATATCTATGAGATCGCTTCTTGATATTCAAGAACCTTCTACCCAACTTAAATAGTAATGTCCACCTGAAATAGACTTTTTTAAAAAAACTTTTATTTTCTTCTGTGTACTTTCCTGTATATTTTAAATGAACCCTTTTATATAATCACAAAATGATACATACTACTTAGAATAAAGCAAAGTGAGCATCGACTTTAAAACATTTTTTTAAACAAAATTCAAAATGTCACTTCAGTTTCACTATAGGGAAACCTCACATTTGTAATGTCCTTCCAAGACACAATAAAAATCTACTAGTGAAATATTCTGACCCCTTGGGTCTCCTGTAAGCACAACCCAAGCATCTGTTGTGTGGGAAAAGCCATCCTGTGGAAAAGAGCCTAGGGGGTTGTCAGCCTTAGCTGCATCTGAGAATCACTTGTGGGGGCTTTGAGAGCCCCCCAGGACCCAGCACACCCAAGACCAATTAAACCAGCATCCCTGGGTGGGGCCCAGATATGAGCATGTTTGAGAATCCCCAGGGATTGCAGGCTGCAGCCGAGCTTGACAACGCCAGCCTTCAGTAAGTGGCAGCTTGCATTTCACCCCGTCACAGATGTTCGGCGTTTCAGGAGGCCCCCTTGTATGGATTCTCTCCGTCTGTGAGAGCCTCTGTCCACTCAGCACTGTGGGGAGCACTAGCCAGGCTCCCTGTGCAGGGAGACCGGAGAGCACACAGGCCCCGCTAGGTGGGCATGCAGGCCTGCAGAGCCCCACTTCTCCACTAACTGCACATCTCCCTTCTCGGACTCCCCGCAGGAGCTACAGTGACAGCTGTTTCCTGGATTCCTCCCTCTATCCAGAACTAGCTGATGTCCAGTGGTACGGGCAGGAAAAGGCCAAGCCCGGGACCCTCGTGTGAGCCAGCCCGGCCCAATCCAACCGCCTCAACGCCATTCTGAGATCACCTCACTGCCTCTCATTTGCCTTACCCAGACGCACTGTCACCTGCACCAGCTTCGGCCCTCAGCACTTTTTTCCTCCCGTCTCCGCATCCCCTCACCCTTAAAAACCTGACTGAGGAGACACTCTGGAAGGTTCCGGTCCCACTGTGTGTCCCCTGGCTCTCTTGCCCACGGAGAACCAGACACCAATCCTCGATGGCACCTTGGTGGCTTCCCCCTGTCATGACAGCTCCCCAGGCCAGGAACCGTCAGGGAAGCTGCTGGCCTCAAATTCCTGCAGACAAGTAGCATTGGTAGAGTACAGAACAGGGGACTTAAGTACAGGGTGATCCAGAAGGACTCTTCAGCTGTGTCCAGCCTGCCACCTGTAGGCCAACCAAGCTCTTCATGAAGAGGACACCTGGGGGGATATTCAGTTCACACCTGAAATAGCCCTTAATGAGACAGCTGGGGAGGGGGGAGTGGCCGTGGTGGGAGGGGAGGGTGAAAAGCAAGACCCATCAGAGGATCACAATCAGTTCTATGCTGCCAAAGATTAAATAAATAAAATAAAAACACACAAAAAAAACAGGAGGGGTCACGAGGAAGACATTCTTTCTGCAATGAAGTTCCTTTTCAATTCTAAACTGCTAATTACACATCACAAGTGAAAGTCACCCATGTGTTAATTGTGTCCTCTCTCCCTTGACGGCCCCCTTCCCTCTCGGTAGAGAGTCCGAAGGACTGACCAATGTGATGGTAAAGACAAGGGAGGCTTGGCTGGCACAGTGACTCAGAACCTCCACCAACCTGGACATGAAGGAAGAGAGACCGTGGGGAGGAGCAGAGTGTACGCTTAGCCCTGTTCTGTGAGGGTGACTCAGCCCAAGCCCCAGACACAGTGCTGCTTTCCTTTCTGGATTTGTAAGGTGATAATTGCCAAAAGTGGTTCTCTCTCATTAAAACGACCAGTAAAAGTGTATCCTATTTTTTGCACAAGGTGTTTCATTTTCTTTTTAATGGGAAACCAAGGGAAAAAGCACATGGCGGCCCATTCAAGTGTTTGACTTTGTGGCTCATTTTATGTTTGTTAGCACTTGTGTGACAAAGAGCTCACATCCGACTTCTCCTGCGTGTCACTTGTTCAAAGGACCCAACTATGCCCTTAGGTAAAAAGATTTTACTCAGTGTCTACTAGCCGTCAGGCAGAGCAGGGTTGAAAAAAATATGAGCTCCCAAAGGGCCCAGACACCTACAACATTATCAGTCACCTTGATGCACCACATTTGTCTGCAGATACCAAAAGAGGAAGAAAGAAGGAAGAAAAAAATAACACGTGGGGGAGCTGCACGTTTACATGTGTTTTGAGCTGTGCTTGATACACAACTGGAAAGCCATCAATCTTCAAAGGCCTCAAAAATACTTTTGTAGTAACTAACAAGTGCACAATCTTAGTTGGTTATTCATGATGGCACAAAAAGGCCTCCACAGAGGTGGTATGCTGTGCTTGTTGGCGCAAGTGGGGGGGCGGGTTCTCACCTGTGATGACTTCCTATTGGAAAGGCATTTGACAGCCAGGGACAGGAGTTGGGGTGGGGGTGGTTTTATGGGAAGGCAAAACTGAAATTAGCTTTAGCATAAAAAGAAAAATCTTTGTTTCTCAAGTATGTGTAATCTAAGAGTAACAATAGACTCTACCAGACCAGGAGGGTAAGAATGAACACTAAAATGAAGTAAATACCCACGGTGTTCCCTCTGCTGCAGCCTGGAAAGCACTGGAAGGAGCTGAGCCGGAGCATGCACACCTGGCTGGGACCAGGTGGGCCACGGCTGCCTCTGTCACCTCTCTATGAACGATTCAGGGTCTACTTTCCCCGCTCTGTGCACAGTTGGGCTGGTGGCTCCAGCTTGCAGGAGGGATTAATATTTCCAGAACATTTTAGGGATAAACTTGCAGGATAAATAGAAACTGGTTATGATGTTACTAATTGATTCTAAGGATTGATTGATTTTGTTGCCTTATTTTGATGGTCAGAGCTACAGTTTTTCTCCTTCCCCATTCGGAAACATTATACATGTGCCATTTTGATTTCTCCCAAAAGAAGATACATGAATAATCAGACGGAACTATGTGCAACAGGAACAGTCAAAAGGGAAATAGAAAAGGTGACGAGGTTACACGGTTACAGGTTATACAACAAGTATAATAGTTTGAATTCAAGTCTAAAGTAAATCGGATCAAGCTTGTAGCCCGGTTGGGTTACAAGAAATGAGAGGCGGAAATTCTTTCTAAACATGGGTTACATTTTAGATTCGGGGGGCAGAAGAGAATGGAGTGGAAACAGGAATTACAGTTCCAGCAAGCATCATGATAGTCTGGTAGTAAAGACAGATTAAGTAAAACAGGTTTTACTGTTTAGCTGTGTTCAATTAATACAAAATGTACATAAAGTGTTAGTCCTGAGACTGACATGATTAATGATCAGTGTGGTGGGAAACGATGTAGTTATTGTATACAAGCACTTGCAAACTCTTTATATATCCCTATTTCTTTAAAACAAAATAAGATGAACTATGAAGCCCCTGGTCTAATATAAAACCCTACTGGATTCTTTGGATGTGTATAAGAAACTGCCAGTTTAAGCCAGGAGACTGGTGAAAACACATACATCAGACTATGTTGCGAGCCAGTTTGATTTTTTTATTTTATAATATGCAGGTGAGTGTTGAAACTTCAAATTCCAATTTGTTTTCATTCAGTATTAGTTTAGTTCTAAATATAGCAAACCCCATCCAGGTGCTATCAGACGACCAGTTACTGCTTAGTTAACTACGTGTAAAGTTTTACATATACATTAATGTCAATAGTTTATTACAAGTTGTGTAAAATGGACTCTAATACTGGGGGAAAAAGATTAGGTTGCTCCTGAAACTGACTGTAGAGCATGTAAAATGATTTTACTGGATTCTGTTCAACTGTAATCAATGAAAAAGATGTATGTTGTAGACAAAGTTGCAGAATTAAAAAGAAATCTGCTTTTAATTTATTCTTTTTGTATTAAGAATTTGTATAATACCTTTACATTTTGCAAAACAGTGTTGTCAACACTTATTAAAGCATTTTCAAAATGAAAAGATCCCAGTTGCCTCTTGCAGATTTTGTTTATTTCTAAGTGACAAATGCTTAAGCACGCTCTAGAAATCTGTAGTTTAGGTGTTTAGGTGCCTGTGTCCTCACTGGGCTCATTTTATAAAGTCAGTCTATAGGTATTATTATTATTATTTTTTTTTTTTTAAAAGATGACCAGTAAGGGGATCTTTACCCTTGACTTGGTGTTGTCAGCGTATTATTATTATTATTATTTTTAAAAAGATGACCAGTAAGGGGATCTTTACCCTTGACTTGGTGTTGTCAGCACCACGCTCACCCAGTGAGCTGACCGGCCATCCCTATATGGGATCCGAACCCGGGGCCTTGGTGTTATCAGCACCACACTCTCCCGAGTGAGCCACGGGCGGGCCCTATAGGTAGTATTCTTATTGACTTGCTTGATGATATAGACAAGCTTGGTTTGTTTAGTAGAGGTTAATTCCCTCTTATTCTAGTTTCTTTTTGTTAATTATACAAGATAAGATAGCCTAAATTTCGTATTCCTTCTACTACAAAAAGGATTTGAGAATAGAGGCTGGTCTTTGTCAGGATACTATTTCAGTATTTGTATCACTGTTCATTACAGACAGTTACCTATGTGTACTAAGTGTACTGTCCCCACAGAACAGTCCATGGTAAAAGGAACATGGAGTCTGGGCTTTGGGGTGTGTCCTTCATCTGTCTCCATGTTGTCCCTGGTTCCATGTAGGATGTAAAGTGCCAGTCACACAGGATGCTCAGGCTCTTTACAACCCCTACTGTTCACCTTCTGTGCTCACACTGCAGCTTAAACCCTGTGTTGCCCACCCTCTGCATCCCATCACCAAAGCAACAGCCCACTGGGCCCGCAGGTACAAAAAGCCCCCTACTTATGGGGAAGACGGTGACCAGCTGGCTGACTTTAGTAGAGCCTGCTGCAATCGAACCCCTGGACCCCAACCCAACAGGCATCCTTTCACCACAGGAAACTGGAAAGTCTGGCCTCCCTGGATGAAATATCCCTGGATGGAAGCCCACCTGAGATAGGAAGCCCTTGCTGAAATGCCAGTCACTAGAACCGGCTGAATGTAAATCATGTCTGAAAGTGAGCCCAGTGTAGGATGTAAAGTGCCAGTCACACAGGATGCTCAGGCTCTTTACAACCCCTACTGTTCACCCTCTGTGCTCACACTGCAGCTTAAACCCTGTGTTGCCCACCCTCTGCATCCCATCACCAAAGCAACAGCCCACTGGGCCCGCAGGTACAAAAAGCCCCCTACTTATGGGGAAGACGGTGACCAGCTGGCTGACTTTAGTAGAGCCTGCTGCAATCGAACCCCTGGACCCCAACCCAACAGGCATCCTTTCACCAACAGGAAACTGGAAAGTCTGGCCTCCCTGGATGAAATATCCCTGGATGGAAGCCCACCTGAGATAGGAAGACCTTGCTGAAATGCCAGTCACTAGAACCGGCTGAATGTAAATCATGTCTGAAAGTGAGCCCATTAAGACAGCACTTTCTACTTCCTAAGCCCTAAAAACTGCCTATGGGAGAGCCTGAAGCCTTCTTTCCTTGGGGAAGCAATCAGAGCATCTCCAAATAATCTATGTTTTTTTTTTTTTTTTGAGACCGGCCGCACCGCGCTCAGCCAGTGAGCGCTGTGAGCGCACCAGTCATCCCTATATAGGATCCGAACCTGCGGCGCCACAGGCTCGGCCCAATAATCTACGCTTTAAAAAGAAAAGAAAGGGCTGACCGGTTAGGTCAGTTGGTTAAAGAGCAGCCTTATAACCCAGGGTCACCCACGGGCTCGGCCCAATAATCTACGCTTTAAAAAGAAAAGAAAGGGCTGACCGGTTAGGTCAGTTGGTTAAAGAGCAGCCTTATAACCCAGGGTCACGGGTTCAGATCCCTGTACTGGCCAGCTGCAAAGAAAGAAAAGGACCTTTTACATGTAAATATGTCACAGTTCAGAAAATAAATCTATTATCTCCTCATTAAGCTCTGTCACATGAAAGAAACTTGTACACAGGAAGATGAGATTATTTCCCTTTCTTTCCTACTCTTTCCCACATTTCTCTCTCTCTCTCCTTCCTTACACAGTGCCAACAAGGTGATTCCAGTTACTATTTGGATTATTAGAGAACACAAAGTAAACACCCCAACCCCAGTAGAAAGACTAGAAATAGCCAGCACTTTTTTCCAGAACACCAGTTCAAAACTGCTCTTCTGTAAAACTCTAAAAAGAGGAGTGAGAAGAAGCCACTGATGAGACTAGTGAGCTGGCCCGGAGCTTCTCAGTCATTCCTCTGCTTCCACTCTCGTGGATGGGACAGGCACACTACCACGACTTAAGGGGAAAGGAGGTCACCAGCATTAAACAGATAGAAGAGATTAAAATGATTCCCAAGGACAAGAGATCAACAAATGTGTTGACAGGGGGTCTCTCACTGCTACCTCATTCAGGGAGTTGACCAGTCAGAGATGGCAGGAAAAGGGAGATAAAACTAAGGTGTAAGTCTGTGGCTTGCACCAGGCCATGCTCCAGCAAAGTCAGTATCCATTCAGGCAAAAGCCAAGGGCCTGTATTTGCAATTCAGGAGAATAAACAGTGTAGAGGGAAATTTACAGCACCCATAGTTTGACAACTGCACCAAGATTTTTGGGTTTTGTTTTTTGTTTTTAATCAAAAACCAGTTTTTCACTTCATAAGTTTTTATCCCCCAAGCTAATAGGTTCCTTTTATTTTTCTTTCATTCATCCATTTTCTCTCGAACCCACACCAATCCTGCTTTCATCCCCTCCACTCTACCAAACCCACCCCCGTCAAGGTCAAGGATGACTCCTCACAATGTAAATCCAATGGTTAATTCTCTGTTCTCATTTTGCGTGATTTACCAGCAACACTGGACAGTTGAACCCCCATGCTTCACTGAAACACTTTCTTCACTTAAATTGCAGGATATCACATTCTCCTGGTTTTCCTATTATTACAGTCCACAGCCTCTCCTTTTCAGTCTCCTTGATAGTTTTTCTTCATCTCCCTGGCTTCTTAGCATTGGAGTGTCCCAGGGCTCAGTCTTTGGACTCCATCTCTTTATTAGGGACAATTACACTTTTCGTAGCTCCCATCCAGTCTCATGGCTTTATATGCCATCTATATGCTGATGACACCTATATTTCTCCCTGCATCCTGGACCTCCTCTCTAGCACATCCTACTGCCAACTCAACATCTCCACCTGGATGTCCAACATGCTACCATGTCCAGAACTGAGCCTCTGACACTCCCCACCAAACCTGCTCCATCAATGGCCTTCCTCGGCTCAGTTACAGGTGACTCCACCATTCCAGTGCTCAGGCCAAAAGTCTTGGAATCTTCTCATACCTCACCAAGGCAACAAACAAAATAGATGCAAATTCTCTGCCCTTATGAGATATATATTACACTGGGGGTGGAGGGGGAGGAAATAAAAAGTAAATTACATATTAGAAGCTGGCAAAAAAACAGGCCGGCCCGGTGGCGCACTGGAGAATGCGCCACTTGGGAGCATGGCAGCGCTCCCGCCGAGGGTTCGGATCCCATGTGGAGACCAGTTCCCGCTCACTGGCTGAGCGCGGTGCGGGCGCAACACCGAGGGTTGCGATCCCGTTACTGGTCAGTAAAAAAGACAAAAAGGGAAAAAAAAAAAAAGAAGCTGGCAAAAAAGCGGGAGGAGGAACACTTTTTCCTCCAAGTGACATGAGAAAAAATGCTAGTAAGTTTGGAGGTGGATATAGAAGTGAAAATTGCCTCCATAGTCAACCCGGCATGAGAAAGATAGGTGAGACCACTCTCCAAGTGAGGTGGGAAAGAGGCAACAGGGTAGGGTAGGATAGGGCAGAGTCATGAGACATTAGAAGACCTACATCAGTGAGGGTCCAGCTGACATTGGACACTTAGCAGTTGAGTGGTCATGAATTCCTTCCCACAGCACTTCCTGGCCAGGGCTTGGGAGAATGTTGCAATGAACTGGTGTGGGCTTTTATCGTGGAGCATGGCAGAAGGACAAAAATTATAGAAGGTACTGGTAAGAGGGTGACTGAAATGATTACAGTGGGATCTAGACTGACTAGAGAGAAAAGGGAAGCCAAGAAGATGCTGATAAAGTAGGAAGAAAAAGGAATGAATGGACAGAATCTCTTGAAGAGACTGAGGAACAGGAGAGTGGGAATCAAGGAGGGAACAAGGCCAGAGTAAGTAGTTTCACATATTCTGACAGTTATCCCCATGGGAGGTGAATCATGTAGGGAAAAGTCCATACATTATGTTGACAAGTGCAAGTGGAAAAATCCATCTGATCTGGGGTTTGCTTGGAAGACGACCTGGGTCTCATGCCCCTCTTTCAAGAACTGAAAATCTGGTTGCCCATCATGTCAGGGACCAAGAACCACACTAATTATTTTAACAGAGATGATTTAATATACACAATTACTAACGAGAGAGTGACAAGGTAAAGAGGCAAAAAGAGGACACTTGGGAATCACAGAGACAATAACTGCAGGAAGCAGCTACCATATTTAGGACAGGCACAAAGGCAATGGCCTGGGCTTATTGAAATTGAGAAGCTTGAAGAAGGCACCCATGAAGCTGGGAGTCAATCTTCTCAGGAGTGGACGCTGCTTACATTGACATACAGGTGCTTCAGGAACTTGGCAGGATCCTGAAGAGCTTGGATTCAAACCTGTGAAGAGCAGGTGCTGGCTAATGGTGCTGTGATCTTTGAGTGGCGGGATGAAACTGGTGCCACAGCATGTAAAAACTGTACATCGGGACCCACTGTTCCTCCAGGAATTACCTGTCACTGGCTGGAGAACCACTGCTATGTCCTCATTGTTAGAAACAGGAGGCAAACAGAAAGGAGCAGATCCCTTCTTCCCTCTCCCAGGGGCCACTCTCTCGTGTGTCCACTACACACAGAACTTAACAAAAAGCCAGCCAGCAAAGGAGAGACGTGGTTTGCAGAGT